CATAAAATGTATGTTTTAGACAAACAATTAACTTTTAGTACCTACATAAATTATCCGTCTCATCACTTCTCCATAATAAAACTGTTTAACTTGAAAAGTATTTACTTATTTAGTTTCATATTTATTTTCATAACCTTAGTAATAAGCACACAATAAATGCACACTTGTTGTAGATTTAAGTGTAGTATAATTAGTGAAATTCTATTAGGTAACGAATATATAAGATACAGGAACAAATGTAAATTATGCAAGACAGAAAAAATTGTAACTAACCATAAAATATGTACAAAATTGACAAAACAAAAATGTATGTAAAATTAGCATGTTAAGAGAGAGTAAAAAAGGAAAAATTTATTAACCTAAGTAAAATGTAAATAATAATTGAAAAGAATAACCCACAGTTAACACTAAAACACCTTAAAAGAAAATAAAAAAAGAGCTTAAAAACTAAATAAATATTAAAACACACAAATTATTGATCGGGGGAAACCTAACAAAAAAAGAATACATACTGGTTAATGATTATATCAAATTAGTAATAAGTAACACAAAACAAGGAAAATTATACAGGTTTCGTAATATGAGTTTTGACATTGATATAGGTACGCAATCGAATGAGTTATGACTTTAATATGGAAACCAACGCAGCGTCCCTAGCTGTAGATTTAAAGAATTTCTCATATAAATTATCAAAACGTAAAACTCGCCACCCTGTTCTACATCGCGTGAGTGCCGTCAAACCGCAGTTTACATATTTGCGTAGCTATTGAAAAGTGAACATTTTGTTAAATACATTGTATATTCTGCCTTGACCGGGCAGCGACTTACGATCTATTGTGTTGACCAAACAACATTGTTGCGTCGGACAGCGCGGTTAAGGTTGCACATAAAGGCAAAGGCAATATGAGAAAAGTAGCAGATCAATCAGTGAGGCAGGTACCCGAGTATTTCTGCCCGGAAAGGGTAACCCCAGAAAGGAGACCGGAAAGGTAGTCAAGCCAACTAGATTTCGACCGTGTCTTTCAGGGCAGATTTTAATAGTTAATAATTAATAGCGGGAATTATAAAAGAAAATATAAAATGGCAATTCATATTTCGGATTGAAATACTGTGAAGCTGTCGCTGAAGATATTAATGGAGTTCCAAAAAAAGAAACCAGTTAATACCACAAATAATAATTTCATGCAATTATACTCTTATAGATACAATTCATAAATATATGACTCACTTTGTAGCTGAGGGCTTTACGGGGACGGGCCCAAGTAGCACAAAACGCCATTATATCAAACTTATGATAGCACGAGTCCAAGCGTTATGCATTATAATAAAATCGTATATCAACCGTATTTCTTTTAAACGACTCTTATACGTAAAATTTGGGCCCCCCCTTTGTACGACTTTAAGCTTTATAAAAGCTGTGCAATAGCACTACAACTTTTGTATAATAGCATTAATAAAGTCGGGTAAAAGCATTCTAATAGCCACAAAAAGTTCAATTAGCACCTTAAAGTGCTAATTGACTATATTAAAATTGATATGCGTAAATCAAAATTATAATACGTTAATTTAATATTATAAAAATGCTTACTGTTTTATTTCTTTTGTAAAAAAGTATATTTAATAGATTTTAAAAATATATAATCGGTTTAAGTTATTGTTTTGTGTAAGTGTCATGACATATTATCTTGGCTGGTCTTTTAAGTTTTTTAATATTGATTTAAACAGCTCGTTATGTGTGAAATAAGCTGCAAACATCAGTTTGTGGAGTAAAATATACAAGTTTATGGTGTAAAATACACGCGCCTTCGCAAACTTCCTTTAATATAATAAAAATAATAGAAAATTTAACCTAGTAGCAAAAATTTTTGTTGAATTTTAGGGTTTTTAGCATTGTTTTAATAACATAATTGCTTTTATAGGCATCTGTGCACAAAATAAATGACTATTTACCCCTTTTCATCTGACACAGTTGACTTTAAATATTTTGCAAGAATTGGAAAAAGAAAGCAAATGGCGACTCGTAAAATTAAAGCATTAGGTATTCAAATATAGTGTAGTAGAGCTGTTAATCTTATTATGGTTTGACACAAAACTAAGAGCTCGTAATTCATCGTATAACACACTCCCATTTTAGGTACAGCCGTATTTTAACACTTCAGAAGTATCTTATAGTGCTTATAATCATCAAACGATTATTTCATTTTTACTTTGATTTTTAAAAGTTTCAATTAAATTAGTATACTCTTTTTTCAGTTTTCTTTTATATCCACCTGTTTTCTTTGTTTTTCCCAACGTTTTTTGTCCATGGCGCCATCGATGCGTATAAAATGCCACCATTACAATACAATACATAAAATAATTTAACATTTTAATTTTACATAAAAAATAATTACGATCTATTTATTACTTGTATCTCTATAAATAACTTAATATTGATCAAAATATAGCCTAATGTTTTATAAAAGCATAGATTAAGAAGATAAAGGAGCTTGGGCTTGATTAAAGAATACTTTAAGAACAAATCGGTGCTAAAGTTTTACTAGCTTTTTATTCAATGTTTATATAGGATAAGCATTAAATCGATACAACCATAGGCCATTGGAAAACCTTTGTTTCTAGAAAATGACTAAATACAACTAAGTGCACTAAATAATATTATGTTAATGCTTATATAATATATAATGTTTTTCATATCACCGAAATACGATAACAGCTTTATATTAATATTACCCAATACTTAAGTAGGAGTTTTGACATTGGTATACTTTTTTTATTAACCATAATATGGCATTAAGCATTATTAGATAAAATAAATGCCTTTAAACAGATTGAAACTTGACCAGTGCTGATTAAAAATGTTAGTATGACTTTAGGACATAAATCGGTACTTATTTTAATTAATATATTATTTATGTGCTACTTGGGGGGACTTACAATAATCGTAATGGTTTTCCGGTAATTAATTAAAAATAGCTTATGAATGGATAGCACAATACGTCATCCTCTGTTCCCATCTATATCATTAATGGCCGTGTTGATTGATTCTCGTTCTTTCTTTTGTCGAACTAGAGAGACTCGAGAAACGGGCGAAAGTGTTACTGAGACTGTGAGTGAGATATTTTATGGGTGTATTATCTCAATCTAGAGCCGTTTCTCGAGCCTCTTTCTCTTGAGCACTTCTCGAGTCTCTTAATTTCGTAATGCTAAGCGAGCAGCATGTAATCTGTTATTATTGATTTACTGATGGACATACGATAGTTTTTAATGCGAAAAGTATTCCACGCAGGCGAAGCCGCGGGTGGGGTCCTAGTACCTAAATAATATAAACATAGCTGCAGTTACAATTACTGTCCAATCGCATCTCGAAAGAATCTCAACGACTTGCATTTTACCATTGTACTATCTACCTAAAGTCCAATATTATTAAAGCAATCTTCGTCAATCTTCCTCACACATCAATGGTGCTAGATATATAATAATATTGAACTTCAGGTAGATGATAGTGCGGTGGCAAACTCACACATCAATGGTGACAGATATATAATAATATCGGAGTTCAGGTAGATAGTGCGGTGGCAAAATGCAATTGGTGGAAATACTATTGAGATGCAATTCTTATTTAAACATTAGCAGAATTTACGTGCTGCACTCTGATTTGATTTTCAAATCTAAACAACAAATTTATGTAGTTTTAACATAGAAAGTTTTAATTTAGGATTCAAGTAGGAATAATAAATGTAAATAACATAAATTAATCCCGGAGACAAATATCTTCGGTTCTACCACGTAACTGGAACTCTGATTGATCTGTCAAAATGTAGACCCTTGATTATTAACATTTGTTGTACTTGTGGTACCTTCGTTGTCTCAAATACTCCATAATACGGGGGCTTTAGCTACTCATCTTGGAATCTGAGCAATGTATGTGATGTTGTTAAATATTTATTTATCTAATTTGTGCCTGGTCCTCCGATTGACGGGGACAAAATACCTAAACCAATAATAATGTCCAAATGTCACCTGCATATGATATAATTTCTTGTAAATTAAAGAATTTTTAAATACGAGTCCCTTAGTTTCGGAGCCTATTTAATACATTAAACAAACATCAATGTTTCCTATTTATAATATTAATAATATAAATTCTTTTAATCTTTTGTAAGCTATGGGAAATATAAATAGTTATATTAAATATAACGAACAGACAAAGAAATGTGTATTGCTCGTTTGCTCTAATAAATATTAGTTTTATACATACGTAAACTACACTTTAATTAAAAACAAACATACACCTAGTTAAATCTATAAAATTATAAGTCTACATTTAATAAGTAGACCACATCAATTTGTTTATACAATAAGTAAGATGATCATAAAACATATTTCCAATAAATGCCAATTACCTGAAATAGAAACAAGATTTATTTTTTAATTTAACCACAAACAGCCTACTATTTTATCGTTGTGTAAAATCATCAGAATTGAGTAAAGTATCGGTCTGCGGCAAAATAATATTATAGCAGGAATAATTTTTAGGTAGTGGCATGGCTCCTTAAGAACGAAAATAAAAGAAAATAGTACAAGACACTTTAATTGGAACTAGGCGTCAGTGGCGTCACTTGAGTGAAGACTTAACGATAGCAATTTAAAACGTAATGGCCATATATGATTATTGAATTTTAATAGATCATCATATCCTACCTAGACCTGTTATCTCCTAATTATACATAACATTGATCCTTAGTTATTTATGACACATTTTATAGATTGAAATATGAAAATAAGTCGTAAGGGGTTATCCTGTACTATTGCAAAATAAAATATGAATATGAACCTAAAACTGATTTCGATATTGAGACATTGAATGATGGTATGCTCATGTATATGTTAACTTGTTTATACACTAACATAACTTTTAAGTTCTAATTTTACTAACTAAATTATGGACTTGCCCGAAAATAAATTATTATTATTTATAAAAATATATGTCTTTGTTCCAGAGGCTGTACACAAGAGAGGCGCCAACAAGGCGCCCACCTCCACACATCTGCTGATGACAGAATAAATTGTGATGCTGGCTCGAACAGGATCTTACAGAAAACTGCGTCCCAGAGGACGACGAAGGACGTTATAACTAATAGGTTAGATACATAAGTGAAAGTGCCTAAATCGTAACAATGGTGGCTAACAGACGAAATTTCATATTTAGAGTGAGCATAGTGATCAATATCGCCGTCCTTCTTTATGCTGCCATGCATCTTTCAAGCACTAATGGTCCGGGTGTAGAATGGGTACCGGTCACCGTGGACGGGTCAGAGAGGAGTGCTGAAATGAGATATTTGAACCGCGAAGATTTTCGGAACATCACAGAAAGCAAACCTGTCGAATCGAGCGTAAGGAACATCGAGGAATCAACATCCCAGAAAACACCGTCGACAGCAGCGACGACTAACAAGACCACATCGAGCACCACATCAATAACCGAATTAGAGAAGAAACTACACGATACTTCATCAGAAGCTGACGTAACCAATGAAACATTGGATATTGTTGACGAAAATGCGTTATCTGAATCAACTCTCGCTCGTCTACGATTCTTACTCGGTTGCAATGATAGGGACTTCCGTCCTGAATACATTCAACGCGGTGAATATTGGGTGCTTAAAAATTATGTGCGAGCCGATCACGGCACTATGTTGTGTCATGAGTCAATTACTTACACAACTCACGCCGGCTTCGAGTTCCTCGATAACGTGCAACCACTAGTCGAAAGGTAAGAGCAGCTTGTATTATGATAATAGTTTATTTTTAAAATATCTCTTCTATTTTAGGTTACTCATTCCCTGAAGATTTCTCGGTCGTAAATACTGATTTTGAGCTGTGTATTCTTTTGAAGGCGCTATTTGAGTGGTGTCGTAAAATACATCAATCCCGGGTGTCGTAAAATCTCAGTGTTGGGAACACATCAATTAACAACGCTAGACTAAAGGGATGGTTTTGAAATATATTTTCGTTTCCATTCGAGAAATATATGACAGACAATTTACGTTATGAGTGAAGTTGAAATATGCCGCTGTTATATCTTATGTGATTTTTGAGTAGCTATTGTGAAAATGTTTCTTTTTCAAATTATTCCTTTTTGAAATTAGTAACTCACTTAAATAGTTTTGAATTTTGTCCTTTCTCTGGCTAATGATACATACGATTTTCCATTCTATACTAATATTATATAGAGGTAAATAATAATAGCCTTTGTCACCCGCTTAGGGTGTATTCTCGTAGGTGAAAAAAATTTCATGATCGGATCAGAATTTCCGATAATTACCCCTACTCGTAATCGTCGTGTGATACGCTATAATTTTCGCGTGCGAAGTCTTGGGAAAACAGCTAGTTCTATTAAAAAATATTAGGAAAGAAAAATAATATTAAAAGTATTATTTTGATTATTTAAGAATGTATTGCATTCTTGCAAAACAAAAATATTATATTTATTAGGTATATTTAGCTTACAATTTCTCCGATAACACAAACACTTTTAACTTTCGTTTGGCAATCTTGTCAGTCCACTTCCATTTTAATCGAGTGGATTGATGATTTCACTACATTCGCTCATTCCAGAATCGAGAGTGTATTTTTTTCTCTGCATGCTACATCGTCTCATGTTTTAATAAATTCATAACTAGTAAAACTTTTACTTTCTCTAGGCATCTGCTTATTTAAAAATAAATAAACAAAAGACACACAGAACAATCATTCTTGTAAATTGTAATAAATTAACATTTAGATAGGTAACATCGCATAGATTTCTTTGTATATACCACAGTGCTGTCGCAGCATTACATGTTCAATCAAATAAAACCTACTTATGTACCGCTTGTAATAAAAAATATAGAAATAACAGACGAGAATTTGAATAAAGTAAGAATTATCGATATATTAGCTAATAGTATTTCAACCTTTTCAGAGTTTATTTGTTAAAAATATTTTCACTAGTAATTACTTCTCTCGACTATAGATAAATCAAAAGCGTCAGAGTGGAGACAATGAAAAGAGAATCTACATTATCCCGAACCGAATCCGAAGGAGACGGTGACACTGAAACCGGACCGTTAACCAAATCATTTCTATTTTTTCCGTCTACAATTTTTATTTAACTCGTTCAACAAATACAGTTAAATATCATTCACAGATAAAATGAGTAACGCCAATGCAATAAACAGAAGACAACATTCACAAGTATTAATAATTTTGTAATGGATTAATAGAACTTAGTTCTATTTATTGTATCAGATAGAATCTATTTCTCAACTTCGAAGCATCAAGTCGTTTACAATGAGCATATCAACTGACTCCATCGGACGCCTTTCATCTATCATCTAAAGTTACACAATGATATGTCTACCTTTAAAATTGTTATTGCACCCATGAAATCTAGTTACCAATAAACGGTTAGGTATTATGATATTAGCGCAATAAGGAGGTCAATATTATTATGATAAATGGTCAGAAAATGGTTACGTATTATTACGTAACATTTTTCTTTTATTTCTTATCTTAATTTATAATTCTAATGTATAAATCAAGTTTAAAAATATTAGATAACATCACATATATTGTTACGGTCCCAAATTAAGTAGCTAGAACTTGTATTATGGAAATCTGAAACCAGAACCTATTAATTTGCAATTAATCACTCGCCCCTCTCTCGTATGAAATAAATTTAAATAAAGTTAATAAAAAAATGAAGCCATCATTATCTATTCCGACATTTTCAATAATTATTCTACTTATTATGTAATACAAAAATTATTCACCACTTTCATTTCATTTTTTTTTTTTCATTTCTATTCGACACTTTACTCTTAATCTGTGCTCTTAATACTCCATCCATTTGTGAAAATCCATTCAGTTAGTTTTGTATCGCGCCAACGATTTTGTAATTAGGTAACTCTCGAGGAGTTGAGAACTAAAATAACTGGAGACATTTCATAGTTTTTAAAACCAGTATAGCGATTTTTTTATCGAAAGCGATTTTTATCTTGAATTGGTATTAATTTTTCGTGGCATAAGTGAAGTGAGTTTCGAAATGACATAGGGATAGAAAATCTCAGACACGTATGAATCAATCAATCTTGTTTTGTCTTTTTATACAAAGAATGCAATCGATAGAATTTCACCAATATCGGATTCGCTTTCGAAGTGAATTCAGTCACCTGAGTGAATTCGAAATCGGGTTTGAATTTTTACGGAATCGCTCTGCTCGTGTGTGATTTACTAAACTTAAATAAGAAATAGCTGAATTTTATGCACACGAACAAGCCCATAGATATTGGTGATTACACTAGTGTGGCCAATATATCATTAGAACATTAAACTCTTGGGAGTAATATAAAGCTTTGTCATAACAATCCTTCAATCATTTTACGACAGATCTTAAATATTTTCTACACTAAACTGCATCAGTATTTAGTGTAACAGAGACATAAAAGAGTTATTCAATACCGCTAGTCAGTCGTATCGAATGGGCACTGTAAATGTGACTCTCAATAATCGTAATGTGTTATGGCGGTACTTCCCATAATACAACTTCTTCTATTTTTCGGATTTTTTCTTCGAAAAATGTGCGTTCCCTTTTTTGTTTGCTGATATTTTACATAAACGGACGTAAAAAAAAAGAAATCATATCTATCTCATAGTCTCGTAATCGAATTCTCTTGTTAATTTCACTACCTACTAAATCCTATCTGATTTAGTAGGTTAATAAATAAATCCTATCTGATTTAAAAGGCGGTAGTTCCCATAGCACAACTTCGTGTATTTTTCGGTTATTTTTCGAAAAATTGGTGCCTTTTTTTGTTTACTGATATTTTACATAAGGTACGTAAAAAGAAAAAAAGAAATCATATCTATCTCATAGTAGACAGGTTTAAGTAGGTAGTGAAATTAACATGAGAATTCGAACTGGTCAGATCGCAACTTTTCTGTATACTCCAAATATTTTAACTTTTAAAACTCCACAGGATAATCAATTTTAGAACGAATCGGCTCCAAAACTCGGTGGCGTAGTGGATAAGCGCCGCGGCCCGCGATCGTTGTCGTTAAGCAACTTTCGCAAGGGTCGGTCACGGGATGGGTAACCAAAAAATTATTATTTCGAGCTACTCCGTGCTTCGGAAGGCATGTTAAGCCATTGGTCCCGGCTGCATTTGCAGTCGTTAATACCCTCCAATCCGCATTGGGCCAGCGTGGAGGGTCATGGCCCATCCTCCTTTACCATCCATAAGGAAGGCCTGAGCCCCTGCAGTGGGGACGTAAAAGGGCTGATGAATGAATTAGGCTCCAAAACTACTCGACCGATTTAAAAACTTCTTTCGCCTGTGGGAAGGATATTTAATGCCGTAAACAGCAAATAAAGGATGAAATTGCAGTGGAAGTTCTTATAGGGAATTAAAACGTTACCATAGAACCCATTGTTTACTATTCAATTGAGTGATATGAAGTGACATCCAAATATGAAGGGTCCACGAGGGCGAAGCCACTGACAGAAAGCTAGTTGAAACAATAATATTTAAAAAAATCAGATGAAAATATTACTCACATATGGGTGGTGTATAGACTAATCCCTTTGCCTGCCGGATTATTTATGACACATTTCACGCTGTTTAGAGTGTAACCAATACACACTAAATAAGAACTGTGGAGCGGGCTAAATAGTTCCTCAAAACCTATCAACTTCTAACCGTCCTGATATATTCCTTTTTCTTCTATATTCAACTCACCAAGCTTCACCTCACTACATACACTTATTTTTTTAAATACATTATCATAGTATCGATTAAGATTTAAGACCTATTAATATTCCATTTTTTTATTTTCCAATACACGTTTTAGTGAATACCTTTTAACCTTTGCGTTGTCAAGGGCATTGTGATTTTTCTGTCAACGCAACACACCTCCAAGTCAATATATCATGGCGTTTTAATGCAATTTCTGTTGTAATTAAGGTAGACATCGGACAGCAAAATTAACGACGATTTTATACGTCAATCAAAAATAATATAACGTAGCAGTCGTGACTACAATTGTATCGTAATAGTAAATTTTTTTGGTAATGATTATTTTTGTATAATCTTTATACATAATTACTTATATAAACCTGATATGACCAGACAATAAACACTTTGTAACCATTCATTATGCAACTGTAAAACATCTTAAGTAATACGAGTTCAATTTCTATATGAATATCTATTTTTTTTTAAAGTCAACAATTAGGTTTGATTACATGTCTCATTAGACATTGTTAGATGCAAAAGTCTATATTTAAGTAGGTCAATTTGATTCTGATAATAACTCTAAAATTGAAACTGTTACGATGAGTAGTTTCGAAGCTATAAGAGAACAGATCAACATTCTTACATACATACCGGCCAGTATCATATCCAAACGCTAAATAAAAACTTATTAAAACCGAATAAAATATTTAATTAATATCGCCAGAAAAAAATGTCACGTGAATCAATGAACCTTCAACCACAGTTTCAACCGTTAATTTAATTTGTATTATACCATATTATAGTACGTAATAACCTTAAGCGACATCATCAATGTCAACCGTTGTCTCATGTATTACTTAGTGAGTCAATGGAGCAACGCTGAGACAATAGAGAATATATTGTTCTATAAGAACATTAGCCTTTATTACAATAACCCATATCTGATCTGTTCTGTAACCGACAACCGGCCAACGGGAAATCGTAACACTGTTCTCCA